CTCTTCTCTGTAAGCCTACTACGCATGTCCTTTTTGCCTTTTTTCTTTCTCTTTCTGTTTGCCTGCCACGAGGAGGTAGGCTAGGAACTTTACCAGAATGTAGTTATTAGCCAGTAAGTTTGTTTGTTATTTATTTTACAATTAAAATGTGTTTTTCTTAGAATCTACCTCGGGTTTATTTTACTTAATCATAAGGTATACTCCAAGGAAAAACCACAATTGACCCCTCATCAAATACAGGGCTGAATTTACAACCCTCACAAGATTGTTGTGTCCCAATAGATGGAATTGTTTGTTTGAAAGTACACTTGTGAGATGGGCAGAAACCATGGGAAATCGGAAGTCTCTCAAATAACCAGGCAGAGTACTGTGAAGGGTTTTATAGATGATAACCAGCAATTTTAATCACACCAAGATGCTCATTGGCAACTAATGGAAGCTAATGGTTCATAATAGAAGCACAACTCCTCCTTAGTTGTCATTCATTAGGCTATCATTGCATTTTATAATTAATATTTGTTTTTCCACTGGGGAAAGGATGTATTGGGCACCTGAAGTGTAATGTGATAAATTAGTGTTAAATGGTCTACCCCCTCTGTTTTACTTAGCTTAAAGATACAAACATATAAAATACTTGTTGAATCTGGAACTTTGTTGTTGGTCTTCATCTACTCTAAATTTGGAATTTCCAATAATCTGTTATTATTTTGGAGAAGGTGTTCAATTGCTTTTTGAGATGAGCTGGAATAAATGTCTAATTTATACCTTCTATAACTTTTAAATGTAACATTAGATTTGTTTGATGAAAAATCCCTGAGTTATTGTATCTAGAAAGGAAAGAGTATAGCGGAGCTAAAATTCAGTTACTTTTAACAGAATGTATACTTAGAGCTTCTGCACTGGGAACAAATTCCTTGTATGTTTAATCATGCTAAGCCAAATAAAATATTTAATTCAATTCATATTCCCCCTTTGATTCAGATGGATAGTGTACCAAAGCATCAGGCAAATTCTTGGGCTACCTAGCACACAGTCACATGTCACACTTGAATTAATAAACTTTAATAAAATTAAAAGTTAGGAATGAGAGCACACTCAAGTAGCTAGCACTGAAAAAGAAATAGAAGTTTAATCTCAAGTAACACACGCTAAATAGCAGGGGGTTCACAGGGAGGGGGTCAAAAAATTTCAAGAGGACAGCGAGTAGAAAGCGAATGTTGTCAAAAAGGGACTTTCTTTTTGATCCTCACAAAATCTCCCCTGCTAAGCTTATTTGCCTGAAGGAAGCCACCACATTCAAGATGACAAAAGGTTGATAAAACAGGAAGCAAACATTATTTTTTTTAAATGTCTGTTTTTATTCCTGGAGGCTCAACAGAAGACATGCAAAGAGGGAAGAAGATTATGCAGTCACGTGTTGCTGGAAAATGCTAGATTTCCTGCTGTCCTTGGGGGCATGGAAATCCAAAAGATGAGCAGAAACTTTTGCATGCCTAACTCTGCATAGAAAAATAAGGTGTGTGAAGTGAAAGAAATATATTCTCTATCTCTGACAAATAATCAGGACCTTTTTCATGTATATAGTAAAATATTAGGATAGACTCCTTGGACAATTTGAATGTATTAAAGCAGAGACTGGGATGCTTTAATTTGGATTCCTGAACAAAGTAGGAACAGCAATCTCTGAAGAAGTTTGTTGTTTTGTCAGTGACACAGCATTGTAACACAAGGTCTATCCCCTTCTAGTATGTGTGAAACATGCAATGCATGAACAGAAGAGGTGGGGGTTATAATGGCATAAGGCTAAACAGGGCATTGAAGTCAGCAGCCTAAATAGTCTTCCCTAACACTATATGTCTGCAAAATCAGGGCTTGGAATAAGTGATTAGACCTCAGTCTGAATTATGTTTAAAACCTCAGGCTTTGTTTGCTTCATGTCTGCCTGAGATGATCAACAAGAAAAAGTATTTTTGACAAATAGTAACCAAAGGGATCCTGACAAATCACAGAACCAAAGAATCTGCATTTGCCTAGAAAAGGGACAGTGTCAAAGAAACAAGAGGGAAGCTGAGTGGGAAAAAGGAAATTAGAAGCAGGGAATAATGATCAGCAATGGGAAACAGATTATCTGAGAAAAGGAGGATGTGATAAAATGGGGAACAATTTGAAAATTGGGATGAAAGCATGGCAGAGAAAAAGAATTATGAAAAGGATTCCTAAGAAGATTGCATTTTGGAAGATCCCATTGGGTCAAGACAATATTTAGTCCAAAGGAGAGGAGAGGAGGCAGAAAAGGAGGAGGAGAGTGAGAAGGAAGAGGTGGTTGTCCACTATCCAATAAGCATCAGTCTTCATGCTAGATAGATTTCATGCTGCAGGCACTCTTTATGGAAACAAGTGAAAGTAATGGATTAGAAATTACCTTGAAAGACAAAATATTTGTTCACAATATTATCT